TTCTTGGGTTATGAAAATCTTGTAAATCCTAATTATAGAGTGGTAACAGTTATGATGCATTTGATAAAACTCATTGAATTGCATACTTAAGAAGTATGTCTTTCATCACTTATGAATATTACACATCTACATGTATTAACATATCACATTACCCTATTAATATGTACAAAATATATGCTTTATGTATCAGTTAAAACTTTTCAAGTTAAAAAAAAAAAAAACTGAATTGTCCTCATTCTAGTCCCTCAGGCTATTGCTGTGAAGCAGATGGTCTAAACTATTGGTAAAATTGTAAATGGGTTATAACACCTGTCAAACCACATGGTTTTCCCCACAGGCTTCTATGCACATTAACAACTCGGGCAGTTATATACATCTGTTACAGATGTAGCGGCTAAATAGAAAGGAATCTATAGCATCTCATTCCTCACTCTAAGCCCTTCCCATACTATTTTCTCTACATGTCGCAGAATGTTCAAGGAGCGGCTGAGCAGGAATCCACAGACTGAATTGGTTGGAAACAACCACCTGATTACACTCCTGTTTATTGAGAGTGTCTCCTTCTGATGAGGTAGAAATTTCCTGCTTTAATTGTTGTTGGTATTATTAATTATTCATCCTGTTACTTTTATGAACTAATGCAATTTTTCCAATAATGAAATTATGAGAAATTTTATTGACTGCTATTCATTTGTTGATATTTTAATTCCAAAAATAAAATTAATTTTACCTCAACAACTAAATGGAACTTTAAATGAATATTGAATTCTAATCAGTAGGATTGCTTTACACAGTGCTATGACTTATCACTTATATAACTACTTCCTATGCTTTCTTTTGTGTGAACAAATGTCAAGAGCGATTATATGAAGTCAGTGAGAAACTGGGTCACTCTTGGAAATATGCAGAGGCTTTCTAGCTCTGCTGAGGAACTAAGGCAAAGACACACAGGCAGCTGCAAACACAATTTGTAGCCAGGTTCCTCAATTCCATTCTCCACGAAAGAACCTATTGAAGAAATGCCACATTCTAGGGTAGGAAAGTTACATCTTTTTTATTTTTTAATTTTTATTGTACATATTTAAGGCATGCATGTTTTGATAAACATATACACAGTGATTATTATATCCAAAGAAATTAACATATCTGTCACTTCATGGACTAATCTTCCTTTCCATACTTTCTCTCCCTTTCCCCTTTTCTTTTTTTCATGGTAAGAGGACCTAAAATCTACTAGTACACAATCTTTGCATTATTCATTAGAATTCAGATTTACACATCCTATATAACTGCAACTTTGAACCCCTTGACCTATATCTTCTCATTTCCTCCACCTCCACCCCTGGTAACCACCTTTCTTCTCTTTGTATGTAATTCTTTAAGATCTCACATACAAATGAGATCATGTGGTATTTTTATTTCTGTGTCTGCTTTGTTTCATTTAGTATAACGTCCTGCAAGTTCATCCATGTTGAAAAATACAAGATAAGCATAGAAATCTAATGTGGCTAAAGGTAAAAAAAAAAAAAAAAAAGAATTAAAAAAATGATGTAGCTATATCAAAAGGATAAAGGAACCACCATAAAGAGGCTCCCAGTGGTTATTCAACAGTGGCCCACACCCTCCAAAAGCAATTCGTCTGCCTCATCAGTGGGCTACATGTTCCTGTGACAGGAACCACACCCTCTCCTGAGAAGTCTGAATCTCTAACCTTGTGGTTGAGGAAGGGAGCATTTCCTTTAAGTTTTTAAGTTACTCCTTTAACAACTCTTCAGCTTTAGAGGTAACAGTGGATTCATATAGTTGCTACTTCTGTATAAGAATCCTTTTATCTCTTTTAGTAATTGATCATGTCTTTTAATACTAAAAAACATTTAAATTTTTCCTATTAAAAGGAAACAAAAAATGAACCCAAAATAAGAGTCATTCTACAAAATAAGTGGCCTGCACTTTTGAAAATTTCAAGGTCAAATAAGGTAAATAACTAATTGCAACCTGTGACTCTGGCTTGGTTCCTGTGGTTGGGGAATGTGGAATAATTACGAAAAGCATTTATCAGGACATTTGATGAAATTCTGAATACAGACTGTGGATGACATAGTGTTTTATCAATGTTATAACTCCTAACTTTGATAATCATGTTGTGTTAATGTAAGAGAATATTAATGGTTTAAGGAAATACACCCTGATATATTTAATAGCAATGGAGAACTTATTCTTAAATTGTTCAAAATAAACTAATGTAGAGGGGTGGGAAGAATAAAGTAGCTGGGATAAGATGAATCTAGGTATTTACAAGCATTCTTTGTACTACAATAATCCCACCTTATTTGTGGATTTATTACACATGGTTTTGACCAAGCATGGTAAATAAATAAATAAATAAAAAGAAAAAGAAATTTCAAAACCAAAAATTTAAAGACAGGCTGAGGGTGTGGCTCAAGTGATAGAGTACCTGCCTCGATAGTTTGAAGGCCTGAATTCAAACTTCAGTATGACAAAAAAAAAGGTGTTTGTTTTTTAACTTCTGCAAGCACATTACATAGCTCAATTGATGTAGAGAAACTCTCACTCAAGCCTAGAAGTTTAGAGGAAACTGGGTGGCACTACAGGAAAAAATGAATCAAGCATCTACAGTACAGTACTGAGCTCTATGCAACCTGAGCATCTGTATCTGTAGGTATTCCTCAATAGTAGTCTCCTTGGATATACTTGGAGATACCAAGGGTCTGCTATATTCTTTTCTTTTCATATATATTTAATTCTTGAAATATGTTAAATGTTATCATTTGGAAAAGCATCAGTAAAAATTCAAAATTAAAATCTGACTTAAGATGGCAAGTTGAATCATGCATGACAAACCCCAGAAAACACAAATAAATTCCAAAAGATATCTGAGCAGATAAGAAACTGTGAACAGGTCAGATGTGTTTGACAGAAAACCACAGCAAAAATCTGTTAACACAAAGCTCATGCCAACGACATCAAGAGGTTAAAAAACAACAACACTCGCAGCTCAGTCAACAACTTTAGCCATGGCAAGAACCTTGAGCTCTGCTCTCTGCGGCAGGAAAAGCACACAGAATGGGCACTGAGGCCCTAGACCCAGGGAAGTAACCAGGATTATTTTATCTTTGTTCTCTACTTCATCTTGAAAAGTTATAGTAGTGTTTGGCACATAGTAGTTGCTCAAGAAATACTTGATGGATGATTGATAAGAGCAAGTCAGTAGAAATAAACTAGCTGTCCAACATTATTGGCATTAGTTAAGTTGCAATCTGTAAAGCTAAATAGTATGCAACTATTGAAAAGTCTCTTTGTGGGTCTAGGGGTATAGTTCAGTTGAAGAGTGCTTGCCTACCATGTGACAGGCCCCCCACTTTGATCCTCAGCTCTGAAAACCAAAAATCGAAAAAAATATTTCCTTCATGAATTTTCCTTTTTTCACAAATGTAATATGTCAAATATTTCTCCGTATCATTAACTTTACAAGTAAACGTATTTCTTTAATTTTTTTTTCCCTGAGGAACCACCCAATATTCAGCCCACATGTGATTTCTAACTAGCCTGAACTGAAGGTACCAATCAATGAATTTATCTGAATAAGTGCCCATGCCTATGATCCTAGCACTCAGGAGGCAAAGGCAGGAAGATTTCAAATTGGAAGTCATCCTGGGCTACATTAGCGAGACCTAATGTAGGTCTCAAAAAACGAAACAAAATAATAACAGTAACAGTAATAATAATTAATAAATAAATGTACAATGACATACGGTCAGAATAGTGGAGTGTTTGAGAGATGGGATTCTGGAGACTAATACTCCTAAATTTGAATATTAACTCCATAACTTAATAGCTGAGGGGCCTGGGGGCAAGTAACATTCTTAGATTCTATCTGCTTTAACTATTCAGCTGTAAAATTTGGTAGGATTAAGTCGATGACTACTCCTTTGAAAGCATTTACAAAAGTGCTGGGCAGCACAGAGCTATGCAATTATTAGCTTTCAGTATTTCTATTATTACTAGATTCAAAACACTGCACTAGGTCTAATGAGATTCGCGGATTTGATCCCTTTTCTAACCCCAGGAGTCAAAACAGAATGAAAGCAAAGACAACGCCAAGTTCAGCGAGCCGCGGTGCTCAGGGGAAGTGAGATCCGCCCTGGAGAGAGAATCCCCGAGCTCACAGCAACGGAGATCTGAGAACCAACGGGGCTTCGACGAGTGGCTCCTAAGACATAAGGCGTCCTCAAAGACCTCAGCAAAGACACAAATGCAAAAATTATCTCGCTTGCTCCCCTGAACACCAGAAATGCCAATGGGATGGAGGGAGCAGGGCAAGCAGAAGAAACCTCTGGTGAGCAGAAACGGTTGCAGAGTACGTTTCTCAAGCAAAGAAAGGTAATCATAAAGATAATAGTGACGAGAATAACACACCCCAAGATACTACATTGTAAGAAGGAAATAAAGAACCCCAAAGTGTCATTAAGAAAACCAGGACACCCACGATACTATCGCTTCACTATCCTATAGGTACAACCACAGACAAGTGTAGACTCTGAGCCTGCAGACGGCTAAATACTGTCTCCCGCAGGCGGCGAAAGACCAGAGCAGTGCCGGGAGACGAGCTAGGCTGCGAACTACAACTCCCAGCGAGGAACTAGCGAAAGGGCTGGCCGCTTTCCGTAGTTTCCGCTTCCGCCGTCTACCCTCACGTTCCCTTTTCAATTGGACCTATCAGAAGCGGACCTCGCGCGTGACCGCGCGTGACCCCGCGTGATTGGGACACATGAGCCAACAATCCCAGGAGGCGGGACTCTGGAACTCTTAGTAGAAAGGCGACCCGAAAAGAAGAAACTAAACTAGACAATCTCGGTAGTGATTGGAGTTAATGGGACAGGGGCGGAGTTAGTCGCCAGAGTTACTGGCCAATCAGAGTTTAGGATTGTCAGGGAGCCCGGAAAGAGGAAAGGGGAGAAATGGTACTGTGGTCACATGGCGCGGGGTCTAGTGGGAGGAGCAGTTGCCCAGCAGCCGCTTGGCGCTTCCTGTTTCCGGTTCCTGGAGTGGGGGACAGCGAAGATCCTGGGGGAACACTGGCCTCTGACAGGAGCTCTGGCACTGGGGTTCGCGGCTGGCCTCTTGCTGGCCGCGTCTCCCTACCTCAGAAAATTATTCATCCGCGGGTTTTGCGCTTTGGCTACGCCATTCTCCCGTGACACGTGAGTGCGAGGGGCGAGGAGGAGGAGGCGGGCTGGGGTACTCACACCCCAGCGTCTGACAGAACGGGTGTCGCCAAGTCAAGCTTGGCCATGGTGCTGGCCAGAGTTCCGGCTGTGGAGCCCTAGGGCCGAGTGAAGGCGGAGGCGTGAGGGTGCCAGCTTCAGAGTCCCCATAGGAGGCAGGGAGAGAGGGGACTTCCACGACCAGAGGGAATGCACCGTATTTTGAAGGGAGGGAAGGGAAGGTCCCCGGGTACGGAGTCCTGTTTGAAGTGTTACTGAGTGCTTGTAGAAGGGGTGTGGGGCTGCATCATGGAAGGAGAGTAAGGCGGCATCGTGTAAGTTAGGTGTAACTCCAAACAGATGGAAAGTGACGGTCTCTGGAATGCTGGACGAGGTTTGAGGGTGTCAGCTTGGTGTGGATCAGCGTGAATAACACAGAGATTATCTTGTGATTCTCCTTGTGGGGAGCTGGGACATAAAACCCCTTCTCTTAGGTTCTTTCAGCACAGGGCTGCTTTTCTAAAAGAGTAGGCTGCTGTAGAAAGGGGATAAGCAATCAGAAAAGAACTAGCGGGAAGAAAGTAGAGATTCCATTGGACAGTGGCCATGGCTAGTCTTCAAGAGTTGGGAAGTAAAGTGCTACAGAGACCCAGAGATGTAAGCTGCTTCCAGGTTCCTGTCATAGCCAATGGCCATCCCAATAAAGGATGATTTTTCAACATTGCCAAAGAGATCTGTCTCCATAGAATAAGAAAATTGAGAGATTTTTTTCAAGATCATAAAATTCAAGTTTCCAAAGGATCTGGATAAATGCTTGCACCTGGAGAATCTAATTGTATCAATAAAAAGGGACTGCCCAGCCCTTGGATATCAGACTTTCTCTAATTGTTGTACCCCTGTGTATATCAGTTTCCCAGCAAATACCTCTATGCCATTAATCATCCAAGTTGCCCCAGTAACTTCACAAGTTTAATATTTCTATAACCTGAAGCAAGCATTGGTTTCCTCATCTTTTTAAAAATCTTTTTTTTTTTGGTAGTACCGGGATTTGAATTCAGGGCTTCACACTTGCTAGGCAGGTGCTGCTTGAGCCACTCCACCAGCCCTTTTTTTTTTTCCTTTGGTGTGTGTGTTGGGTGTTTTCAAGAAAGGGTCTCTTGGACTATTTGCTTGGGGCTGGTTTCAAACCACAATCCTTCTGATCTCTGCTTCCCAAGTAGCTAGGATTATAGCTCTGAGCCACCAGCACTCAGCTAGTTTCCTTGTCTTTAAAATGGGGAAAATTATACCTAATTTTCTGAGTTGTGAAGATTAACAATCTAGGTAAAGCATTTAGAGCATACACCACACTGAATCAAAGAGAAGCATCTTAAATGTAAACCCACAGATTAAGCAGGAAAGAGAGAATAATTTAAATTTATCCTCGTCAACTGTTAACAAATAAGGAACTAACTTTGAGGCCAGTGAACACAGCATTCTGTGTTTAAGCATCCCTCCAGAAACTACGCCTGGGAAAATTAGGCCCTAAGAAAAATAGCATGCTAAATCTAACAAAAAGAGTTTCCTATTTCTTTCTAGTGAATCAGCTGGTCAAGTATGTTAGCAATAGGTTAACTTGGGGAAGGTAGGAGTTTAAAATCTGAGCTCTTTATTCCACTTCAGTGAACCATGTGAGGAGGAGTCACTTCTCCTTCTTGATTTCTCTGGGAGGAGGGGGAAAGCCAGTAGCACAGCTTTGGTTAACTATTCTCATCCCTCAATAATTATGACAAGAGATGTACTGTAATGGTTAAGCATAGCCCATGAGCTATGAAGCCAGAGCTCATGCTTACTCCCTTAGCTGTGTCTATTTTCTTATCTGTGAAATATGGACAATAACTATTTATTGCTTAGGGTTGTTTGGGGGGATTAATTAGTTAATACATGTTAAGTGCTTCAAACAGTGCCTGACTGAATTCTATCACTCTATTAACTGTTTCCTACTGTTGTGGTTTGGGTACTTTAAATGTGTTTGTGGGGGCCTTTGACCTCTTGGCTAGCATTATTCTCTGGAAATACTTTATTAGTATTACTATAGTGAACTGATGTTTAGGATAAATAACTTCCCAAGCATATGTTGCCCTAGTGATGTGTGGGAAATACAAAATCAAATACAAGATTGTCAGGGGAGAAGGGAAAGTACATTTAGGGCTCAGGGTTAGAGCTTCCATTTTCCTGTCTTAAGTAAGCAAAGTTCAGTAGAGTAAATTTTGCATCAGAAAAATTAATGATACTGTTATGAAATTAACAAAAAGCAATGGCCTGAGGGATCATTAATGTATACCAGAGTTAGGTCTTCTTCAAGAGTAAATCAGTGTGTTCTTGGTATAAAAATGGATTAGAGAAAATAAAATGAGACAACTATACTTACAAGAAATCTAGAAGCCCTTGAAATTTGTGACTTGTACAGGGGTGGGGTAGTTTTTAGAAGACTTCTTCAAACTATTTAATTTGACCTAGTGAATTTTCTTCCTCCTATAACTTAAATGATTAAATTATTTTTCAGAGAAGATAAAACATGAGAATATATGAATACCAAGTTTTAGGTACTATAGCTGTATTTACATCTATTTAGCATTCTTATGATAAATATGAGCAAAGATGATTGGATGCTCCTGGAATACTGATATGAGAAATTAGGGCCCAAAATATTCAAGTTCCTTTCTCTATTTCACATCCTTCTTAATAACTGCCAACTACACATACTCAAGGGTTCATTTAAATCATAATTTAAACCAGGTACCTGTGGCTCACACCTGTAATCCTAGCTACTGAGGAGGCTGAGATTGGGAGGATCGCAGTTTGAGGCTAGCCTGGACAAATAGTTCATGAGACCCCATTTCCAAAATAACCAGAGCAAAATGAACTAGAGGTGTGGCTCAAGCAAGAGTGTCTGCTTTGCAAGCATGAAGCCCTGAGTTCAAACCCCTGTTTCACACACACAAAAAAAATTGTAATTAAGTGTTTTCTTAGGGAAGGTAACTAGCTTAAATCTGTAAACTTGTATTAAACTTTGAGTAATGAGCTATCAATGTAACTTTTCACCAAACAGTAAAGAAGCAAAGATGGTTTCACCCAAGCTGTCATAATTAAGTAATTTCTTTATTCTTTCCTCCTTTGTACTCCCATAGTTTGTCTTGAAGGACTCACCTATAAATTAGACTAAAAGTTATATGGGTTTCCTGCTATAGGTACTCTTGACATAGAGATATTTAAATGTACTATTTGTTGGCATATGTCAAAGAATTGTACTTTCTGCATAATCCAAATGCATGCATTTATTATACATTCATGTGGTTTTATCTCTTTCCCTTCTCTTCTGATCCTGCCTGCCCTCTCCAACACATACTCCCTGCCAAAAGAATGTTCCCCTTCTTTAGCTGCTGGAGGACTGGACTGCTATTGCTGCTACTCTTGGCTGTGGCAGTGAAAGAATCTTGGCAGACAGAAGAAAAAACTTGTGACCTGGTAGGAGATAAGGGTAAAGAGTCAGAGAAAGAACTGGCTCTGGTGACAAGGCTGAAACCCCTGTTTAATAAAAGGTAAATGGGGAAACCTTAAAGGGCTTAAGAAACTGTCTTTATTAGAGTCTTTTCTTTTTACTGGTTTTTTATTCAGTTTTGTATAGTGAATGTGTGAATGATAGGTTCTAATCTGAACTTAAAGCAGTATTAATTTTATTTGGTCATGACAAATTGCTCTCTTTAATGATATACAGCAAATTTTCAGCCCAATTTTTTGTAACAGTGTGCAGTTCACTTTATCTTCCACAGAAGTATAGCTATGTCCAAGACTGGATCCAAGAGGCCAGCTTGTAGAAATTCAAGCATTATTTGATGCCTCAGTATAACAGAATTTTAGAAGAATTAGATGACATGTTTTGATCTATACACGTCATCATTAGTGTCGGGAATCCTCAGATACATAAATCTGAAGCCTTAAGAAACGGAAGTAGCCCAGGCACCTGTGCCTCATGCCTGTTATCCTAGCTACTCAGGAGGATCGAAGTTTGGAGGCAGCCTGGGGAAATAGTTTGTGAGACAACACAAAAAAGGGCTAATGGAGTGGCTCAAGTGGTAGAGCAACTGCCTAGCAAGTGTAAAGCCCTGAATTCAAACCCCAGTACTGGCAAAAAAAATCATGGAAGTGTCCATTAACTTGGACCCTTGTTATGGGGAAATGGTAGCTAACACATTAGCATAGCCTAGAATAGGCATTGTAGAAATAATCTAGAAGGTGTAATTGTCTTAGATGGCATATTTTAATCATGTAATTGTCTATCATCAACAATTAGGATGGTCTGTCAGGGTTGTGTCTCATAATTCAACAGATGATACACTGTTACATTTAGCCATGACATCAGATGACTAAATCAAGCACATTTTGTTTTTGTCACCAAATGATTGGAGGGGAGGATGGTTCTTCCTGAATCTAATAGCTAGTAACTCTTCTTTCTTCCCATTTCACTTTACAGTTTTGAGAGTACTGTGGGCCAAGGCTCAGAAACTTATATCTACATATTCAGAGTGTGCAGGGAAGCTGGCAACCACACCTCTGGGGCAGGCCTGGTGCAGATCAACAAAAGTAATGGGAAGGAGACAGTAGTAGGGAGACTCAATGAGACTCACATCTTCAATGGAAGTAAGACTCCTTCTGATGATTAATTTATCCCAAGTCCATCTTTTCAACAATCCTGCCTTGGCCTTTCTGTTTCTTCAGTATATCACATTATGTGTGATTTGGTACACCTGAGACTATAAAACACAGGGCACCTAGTTCCACAACTGTTGTGGAGCCACAGTTTAAGGCATTTAGTGTTTGAAGATAGTGAAAAACTCATGCTAAAAGAATAATATAGGCATAGGTGTGTAGCTCAAGGGTAGACCATTTGCCTAATGTGGTTCAGTCCCCAGCACCACCAAAAAAAAAAAAAATCAACCAGAATTGTGTAGCCTAGACTCCTTGTATTTATCCAGATACTTAATATATTCCACACCATTTGACTTCTCATCAAATTAATCAAAGCATGCCAGTTAAATTTGAATGGTTTAAGCTTTTTTGCAAACCAGGAAGTCTGTAAAAAATTTCCCACCTACTTATGCTAAGGTGGTAATGTTTCTCAAAAGTCATAAAACCGTGTTGCTGAAAAGGACTGTGTGATGAGCACTTATTGTCTAACTCCTTCCCATAAGCAGATAAATAACTAAATTGTCCAGTGTAAATACTCACTCCTATAAATAATAAAATGTAAGACAGTTTGGGGCCAAGATCAGGTAAGTGCATTCTTGACTGAGCTCACCATATTTCCTAGTCCTGTAGCTTTGAAAAAGTCATCTCAAGTTGTTTATCTTGTTTTTATATGCAAAATTGAAAATCTAAGATTGTTGGATCAAATGATACTTTAAATACAGTACATACTAAAGAGAAATGTATTCCCATCTCAAAAAACTCATATACTTTGAATTTATCTGTGGCTAATTTTAAGTGATAGGCTTCTCCCTGCTGCCTACCAGTTATATGGAACCTCTTCTTTTGCTGTTAGCATGTATTCAGAAAATGTGAATCAGTACTAAGGTATGGACCATAAAGGTTTTCACACTGTAAGTTGCCTATCTTTAATGTGGAAAGATTATTCTTACATGAATAGGACTTCAGTTGTCTAAAACAAGGGAACATAAAGTTTTATAAAGAAGCAGGTTCTAATTTGACACTTCTGGTATACAGAGCTCTTACCAATGAGGATTATTACTACCTAGTTGCCTGTTTTCCCTTCCATCCCATAGTGTCATTTCCTTGTCCCTCCTTAGGTAATTGGATTATGCTGATTTATAAAGGGGGTGATGAATACGACAACCACTGTGGCAAGGAGCAGCGTCGAGCAGTGGTGATGATCTCCTGTAATCGACATACCCTGGCGGTGAGGCACCCTGGGGAATATTATAGGCAAGAGATTGAAAGGACTGACCCAAGGTGGAGAAAATATCCAAAGGGAACAAGATTCTTAATGTCGGGGTGGACATCAGAAAACTAGTTTAGTTTTTCCCTGTGCCAGACACCCATCATCCATCTTACAAGGAAAATAGGCTACTGGACCAGGAAGAACAAATGTTTGAGTTTTTTTCCTTCATTGATTGGATAATAGTTAAAACACTTTACCACATAAATATTATGTTTGGTCCTGTCATTATTAGGACAATTTTAACCCAGTGTCTGAGGAGCGAGGCAAAGTCCAAGATTGTTTCTACCTCTTTGAGATGGATAGCAGCCTAGCCTGTTCCCCAGAGGTCTCCCACCTCAGTGTGGGTTCTATCTTACTTGTCACGTGAGTACTTTTCCTTTCTTATTAGTAAAATCCCCTTTTTTTAACTGAATCAGTGACTATTTGGTGATTAAGGACACACATTGTGGTATGTGCATGTGTTACACAAATTAGAGGTGACTGAAAATACTGACTCTTGACTATGCAAGCTTAAAGAAATTAAATATTGAGAATATTTACTCCCCAATAAATATTTGCCTTTGGAGATTCCCCCTCACCAACTGGAGGGCTGGACAGTTTTTAGTACTATCCCATTAGATTATTGAAACACTGGAGAAACAAAACCATGTCTACTGTATTGTTCCTGGCTGCTACAAGCACACACTGGGTCACTTTTTTTTCTGAGCCTTTGCTTCTATCAAATTGATAGCATTCTTGGTGGGTTTTCTAAGGAAGCTACCAGCCCCCCTTTTTCATTTTCATCACTACCCTTTTTTCTCTTTTCATAGAACATCGCTTAGAAAATAGCTAACATTGAACATAGAAGTTACCCGTAATATCTACATTTCATTGTTTCTTTGGAGGGAAGAATGTTGGTTTTTTGTTTGAGGCAGGGTCTCACTCTGTAACCCCAGATTAGCCTGGAATTGGTGATCCTCCTGCCTCAGCCTCCCAAGTAGGTGGGAATACATGTATACAGCTCCAAGCTTCAGGCTTTTGTTTGTCTTTTGACAGTGCTAGGGTTTGAATTCAGGGCTTCATGCTTGCTAGGCAGGCAGTCTACCTACCACTTGAGCCACTCCACCAGCTCTTTCAGTGTTGGGTTTTTCAAGATGGGGTCTCCCAAACTATTTGCCTAGGCTGGCTATATGAACCATGATCCTCCTGATCTCTGCCTTCTGAGTAGCTAAGGTTACAGGCCTGATAGACCGGGCTTCAGTTTTTAAGTATAGATGCCTTTCTTCCTCTGCAGGTTTGCATCACTGGTTTCTGTCTATATCATCGGGGGTTTCTTATACCAGCGACTAGTAGTAGGAGCCAAAGGAATGGAGCAGTTTCCTCACTTAGCCTTCTGGCAGGATCTTGGCAACCTGGTGGCAGTAAGTAACAGGAAACTGGCTGAGTCTATAGCCTGTGGACAAGGTTGGGTAACCAATAGTCTTGGTTTGCTCAACAGACAAGTTTGCTGGGACATTGGGTGCCAATATCATAAAGTCCTAGCAAAGCAAAACAGTTGATTGCCATAATATAAAGAAATAAGTAGTATGTCATCAGTTTTTGGACTTCTTAAGATGTAGCTGAAAAGATCAATATTGTCAATTAGATGATCTCCAAATCCAATTTAGTTATGACAGCCGAGGTGGGGAAAAGTTGTAGCCTGATTAGAAAAAATCTCTTTGTATTCCCTAAGTTGAATTTAAGCTAATCCTTGGATTGGGGGCAGGGGGTCCTTTTAATTATCCCCAAGGAAAACTACTTATCACATTCTGAAACCATAAATATCCCCTCAAGTTGGAAATACTAGATTATCATTTCTTTTTTTTTCCTTACAGGATGGTTGTGATTTTGTGTGCCGTTCTAAACCCCGCAACGTTCCTGCTGCATATCGTGGTGTGGGGGATGACCAGCTAGGGGAGGAGTCAGAAGAAAGGGATGATCATTTATTACCAATGTGATTGCACTTTAAATTTCCAGCCTCTTCTTCAGTCCCCCAAACCAAAGCATACTCAAGCCAGATTTCTCAAGCAGTCTCCACTAGTCTCATCTTGCCCTTAATGCTGTTCCTGCTTTCCAGTTTTTGATTTGCATCCTCTTCTCACTAAAACTGCTTTCCCTTTGCTTCCTGTTTTGCTCTTCTCTAGAAAGGTACAGTTCTAGGACAGAGATTATATAACAGGACTGTGAAAGCAGAGGCTACTGTACTATCTCTTGCTATCAGAAGATACAAGTAGGACAGTTAAAAGTGGACAAAAGGGTCATTGGCCCCATCCTTTAGAACATATTTCCTAAGTTTTTGAGACACTGGATTCCTCTAATTACAAAAAAAAAGCATACATTTATTTATTCATTTGACTGTTTTCATGCTATTACTCTGTGCCCTATAGTTGTCTCCATGAGAATCTGGATGTCACTTCTGCTTCTTAGAACTACTTTGCTGTGATTACTTGGTAATCACAAGTATTCCCATTTGATCTGAGCCTGGAGATATTCTAGACTTCTTTCTCCCATTTCTGGGATTAGGACAGGAAAAATGTGAAATTTCCTAGTTATAGATTTCTAAGGTACCACCAAATCCTTTGTAGGCATTGGGGTGACTTTATAGCTGGAATTGGGCCCTGGATTGGTCTTGTGGCTGTCAATCCCATGTGTAGCCAGAATGGCTAATCTGCCAATCCAGTCCATTGGAAGGGGAAGTTGAAACAGACCTATGCTGTAGGGGTTCCAGAACAGGAGTATGTTTACCTTGTGGTGTGGGGTCTTTTCCTCCCATTTGTACAGCTGGTAAAGCTGTTGTTAACCCTATTTCCCTCTACCAGTATTTCTAAACATAAGTTGCACTTTTTTCACAGGCCTGTGGTTATTTGACTTTTGTTTTTTTTTCCAATCTTCTGGAAAGGGAATGGAAGTAGAAGTAGGACATGGGGGGCTTTGCAGTCCTCTACTCTGGGTGTGGAATGCTGCACCTGTCCCTTCTGCTGGCTCAGGGAAGTGTCTTCTTGCCCACATTTATGTGGGGAAAGGTTTTTAATCCTCTGATGCTTTTATCTTTCTGTTTAGGTCATGTGCCCAGAATTCTAGGCTGATCTTTCTGTAACAGTGAACCCCTAGGCCACTAACATGGCTCCACTGGATATAAGGGATGGAATTACTAGGCAGGGGGCCTTTTATAATATAGCTTTAGAGAAGAAAATGAAATTATTTCATCTTTGGACTTTTCAATACTGTTAGAGCTGGGTTTTTTTCTCCTTTCTAAACAGGGAAATAATGTTACAAAATATTATTATAAAAAGCATCTTCTTTGTTACTGGTTTGCATTCCTCCCCCATACCCTGGTGTTTTAAAATGTAAAAAAAAAAAAAAAAATTACACCACTTTTTTTGTACAAAAACACTTAATGATTAAAAAAACAAACAAAACATGCTGTCTTTGTTATTTGTGTGAGAGAGCTGAATTACTGGAATGGAGTTAGACAACTGAGACCAATATTCATCCTTTTACTAAGGAAGAAAAAAATATTTAATATTTGTTGTATAAGCGCCTAAGGCAGGTAACTTATAATCCTGACCTCAGCCCCACACACTCCTGTTTATAAAGCTATAGGACAAAGCAGAGTTGGAATTGAAAAAAAAAAGGTACGGTAGAAGATGACAGATACACTGGAAGGGAGGAGGGGGATGCAGAAAGAATGACAACAGCCACACATGTGCCAGTCAAACACTTTTAGTCCCTGCAGCAAATCAGAAAGATGCCAACCAAGTGTCTACACTGGCTGGTAACCCTGCCATGGATGCAGGAGAAAATATTCAATACTAAGGGAGCAAGTGATAACAAAGGAAACTGAGCCACAGCTACAGTGAGACAATCCAGAGGGAAAAGGGGGAGTACCAGATTTTGCTACTTGTGTCACACAAGCTAGGAAAACCCTACCTCTCCCACTGGGGAGGCAAATCTACATTCCACCCATTTCCTTGCCTTACCATACAATATATTCCTCCTCTTGAGAACAGACCCTGGCCAGATGCTCCACTCCAGGATAAGGCTAAGCAGTTCAGTTCTCTAGACTGCTTCTTTATAAAGATTGGACTAAGGTAGGTGGAAATGTGAAAAACTGTAAAGATTTTTTTTAAAGTGAAACCCAGAGAAAATGTCAAAGCTGCCACCATGTAGCACCAGCAACCAATTCTTGCACTTCTCTTCCCTGTCTTGTTAATCCCCCTATAGAAGGAACAGCTCTTTCTTGCCTGCAAAGTCTGCTAGTTCCAGGTTATAACCTAGACAGTGGGGAGTGTCTGCCTTAGGCTAGTTTGTGCAAGAGGGCCACCTTAGGTCTCCTTGAGGACATTTATCTTGGCACAGATCTTGAGGGCAGGGCCCAGTTTGATGTTCATGGCACTCATAAGATGTTCTTCTTTAAGTAATAAAAGGGCCTGTCCATCAATCTCCTGGGAACGAAACTCCTCTGCAATCTCCTGGCAGCCTAGAAGGAAAAGGTGAGACGTGTGAGAAACTGCACGGTAGCAGCATGAGAGGGGAACTAAAACAGGCCTAGGAATGGTTAACCCCAAAGCATTTTTTCTAAGACAGCAAGCTTTGAAAGCAAAATTAGAGCCATTAGCTATTACAAAAAAAAAAAAAAAAAAAAACTCAGTGGTTCAACCATGCAAATAACTTCAAATAACTTAGGAAAAAGAATATATGCATGTTTTCTTTTACACTGGAAAAAAAGATTGAAGTTAAGAGCCTTTACAACATTTTTGTTTTAGGGCCCGGAATTCAGGCAAATAGCAAGGATAAAGTGATTTTGTCTTATGAACAGCAGTTCTGCCTTAGAAGTGGAGCAACAATGGTCCTTTAGTTTCTAATGTTCTCCACTGAAAATAGTCCTTCATTCATAGAGGGATCATACTTAAATCACACAACGTATTTTATCCAGAATTTACTGGTGAGAAATACAGCTGAAACATAGTATGAAAATTAAACACTACAAAATTTTTGTCATGGTAGAAGATAAGTGTCAACCCGGAGTGAAACTAGGAAACCAAGCTGTAGGCAAGCAACTTGAATAACTTACTGGAAGAGCTTCTGTACTACTGTACTCAAGCCCAACTGCTTACAAGTCAGTTATGTTCCCTCTTATGAAGGCCCATGTGGGATGACCTAAGACCAAAGGCCCGTATTCTGTTGGAGGGACCCCTTCATACCTTGGAGAGAAGCAATAAATTCATACACCTCCTCTACACTCCATCGGCTAGGATTACTAGACAAGAACACAGGGTTGATCCCATGCAATTCTGGTGTTGGTGGAGCTGTAATGGTGTTCCCTAGGTCACGGTCTCCATGCCCAGCTCTGACTGACAGTGGCCCAGGAGATGTTGGGGAGAGTGCTTCATCATAACTGGAATTATCTGAACCCCGGCTAGAGTCCTCCTGACCCTGTAAAGAAACAAGCAAAACAGGTCAGCAAAACAGTTTCATGAGCTCCCCACTCCCTTCCCATGTGAATCTGCACTTCACCTGCAGATGCCAGAAGCCTACTCACAAGTACCTTTCAAATTCGAACTGTAATATCACTTTCTTTGTACTAACAAGTGATCTAGTGTTGTCTCCTCAAGTACAGTGTAAGGATTTACAAATATGATTAGGTGAAAGAAGACAAAGGAGGCCAGAATGCTTAGAATTTGGAGTAATGCAATCAATGTGAAACCACAGTTCTGGTCTCACATCCTTTTACTTCAACAAAGGAATTGCCCTCTGGGGGAAGTGGAAAGGCCCGTTTTCAAAGTAGCTGGCTCTGCTACTCACCCGGTGGCGCTTGCCCTGGATCTTGGCACGGGCAATGTCAGATGAGCTGCGGCGAGGTCCTCGCCTACGAACACGAGCATAGTTGGCTTCTTGAAACTCTTTCATTTTTTTCCTCTTCAGCCGGAACTGGTGGCTACAGCTCACATTATACCTACAAGTCAGGGCACATGTAGGATGTCAAGGTGCTACAGTAGCCTACATCATATCCTTCCCTAAGTATGAGCTGGTATTTTAAGAGCTGATTTGGAGAAACTAAAGCAAGGAGTGGAACACAAAGTATCAGCTGTAGGTCATCCTGGAGAAGGAATGTAACATTCAACAGGGAACCAGTGCTGAGGGCCAAGCAGATGTGTCCACAGTACCTCTTAGCACAAGTCATGGAGCAAAACCTCTTAGAGCCACGAAACTGTTCAGCAGGGGCATACTTCCCACAGTACTCGCACTTGAGGAGATTGGCCTTCTTCTCTAACTCTAAAAAACAAGGAATCACTGGAGTTAACCATGGGTTTTTGCTGTCCTTAGTATTAAAGCTCAGAACTGCATACTAATTTTTCTCAGTGTTTGCCCCCAAAGACCTGCACGACCTAGTGTAGACTGAATTTCTAAACCAGACACCATGAAGATTCGTCCTTCAGGAAAACTATGGTCAGGAGTGGCAGTGCAGGCCTGAAATTCCAGAACTCCAGAAACTGAGGCAGGAAGCAGTTCAAGGCCAGCCTAAATTACAAAGTGAGACCTCGTCTTTAATTAAAAAAGATCTTCCTAACCTTAAACCAGTCTATTTACATTTTGAATGTCTCACTCATTTTTATCCTAATGCAACTCATTTCAGATATGATTCCATTTCTGAGCAGGAACAGAAAGCTGTAACAATTCCTTTCCTACAAAGACTTCTAAAAGCATGGAGGAAAATTTTAAGAGTCCTTTACTAGGTTACAATATCTAAAAAAAAGAACTAGAAATTAAGAATTTAAATGTCCTAATTTCTTTTTTCTCTAGCAATGAACAGGATCATAGCCAGTGCTTCATGCATGCTAGGCAAGTGTGAGCTATACACCTGGCCTATATCAGCTTTTAAAAAATATAAACTTACATAGTAAAGAGTAATTCAAAAGGTTACTTTGGCTTGATAAAATTCTCCTACTCTTGGAACTCCTTTTGTGTGATTCTACATAGTCTGTAGAATACACTTGTATATAGATGGACTTCCTCTCAATTCCTACTTTAATTAAACAAGCCCTGATCAGGCGTGGTGGTACATGCCTGTATTTGTGCCTGTAATTCCAGCACTCAGGAAGCAGAGGCAGAAGGATCTAGAATTCAAGACCAACCTGAGCTACATAGTAAGCCCCATCTCAAAAATTCAAGAGCTAAGGACATAGCTTGATGGTAGAATATTTGCCTAGCATGCATAAGGCCCTGGATTTGATCCCTAGCACGACAATAATAATGATAATAATAATTACTACTGTACACTGAATCATCAAACACATCTCTATGAGCTTCCTTCCCCCAAGTGAATCTCAATAAATACTCACCTACAGAGGGGCTGTCCCCTCCCAAAGGGCCACTTGACTGACTCTCATTCAGCCCCGTTGGGAGGCCAGTCTGTAGTGGCTTCTCAGATTCCTTCAGTAACTGAGAACATCCCACCTGTCCCAGAAAAAGTTCACAGTTAAGGCAGCCTAGTTCCCTTCTGCCTCTCCATAGCCTTCCCCAGAATTTCCCATCATTTTGTCTGTGCCTGGATCTGATTCAGAGAATGTCTTTCAAAAGGGCAATCAAGGGTCTCTAATTGGCTTTATTCAGAAAAGCTCCCTCCTTATCTTGTCCTTTGAAAGTGGATGGAAAGCAAGAGAAGTAAAGATATAATAGGGTTCTAGTCTTGATTCTGCAACTCCTATACTAGGAAACTCCCTCAACTGCTCTACCACACGTTTCTTCATTATAAAGTCATTTAGTCTACCTAACCAAGCATTATAGTTTTAAAGGCTATTTTCTTCTCCTCTTCCTAACCTTTTCCCTATCTGATCCACTCTCCTTTTCTCCTTTCCTTCTGCAATTAACTAAGCAGCATAAGCACAACTGAAATGTTCTCTAATAATTAAATAGTTCTGTGCCTCTTGTTTTCAGAGGACTTTTAAGACAACAAAAATACCAAATCCCCACCTGCAAGTCCCATCTTATGGCCCTGCCCTCACCGGGAAAGGTTCTGCTCCTTCTTGGATGACAAAGCCTTCAATGATGTGTGTGAGAATCTGGGGCTTCACAATGGCCTGTGGGGGTTTGGAGTCACCCATCTGTCTGGACACCATGGCTAACGTAGGAGGTGGTGCTGATGGAGCAGGGGTCAAGGCTACCAGTTCACTGCTTGGAGTATTAGCATTCACACTGGCCACTGGATCAGCTTTCTCTGGAAAATAAGCACATATAAAGGAACAGGTATGAGATCACATAATTGATCTTCTATAACTGAGCCAGCCTCATCTTCCACAATAATACATGTTCACCTTTGAGCATTGACCCTGGATTCTACTCATTTGTCTACCAAGTACAGGCCCATTTCCTACTGAATCAGATTTATCTTTAAATGAAGAACATTCCTCTATCATCTGCACCTTCAACAACATCTTAGAAGTTACTCACTCACCTCCAAGACTGCTCTTCTCCTCCATGACCTTTGGACTCTCTGCTGCTGGAGATGCCTTGACAGGAAGCACTGAACCCAACGAGGAGACATCATCTCTCTCCTCCTCAGACTCAGCTTTGCGTTTCACAGCCAATGTCTGGGGTTTACCCTAAAGTGAAGTACAGGAAAGAAACCAAGATTTAAAATGAAGGATATAAAGGAACTACAATTATTTCCATACTTTTAGAGCAAATTTTCTTAGTTCCAAATGCCCCAATTTGCACACTTCCCATGATGCACTAAGAATCTTGGTACCCCAATTAGTGTACTTCCTGTATCAGGACAAAAGGCAACTTCAATTAGTCCTAACTTAATATTGTAAGACCTTGCATTCATTGTAGACCAACCAAGAACTGCTGTCTTTCCAAAAACTGATTTGGTTAAAGCTATCTTGATCTAAGTTACGATTTATACAAAAATCCAGAATGACCAGGTAACCCCAGCATTCGACAGAAGTGAGGAGGATTATGAGTTTGAGGCCAGTATGGGATCCATAGCAAGACCTTGTCTCAAAAAAAAAAAAAAAAAAAAGTAGATGATTTCAATAACAAATTTTAGGAGTATGAAGTTCAGGTATACATATTAACATCTTACTCTCCTTTTTTGGTGGGACTAAGATTTGAATTCAGGGCTTCATGCTTGAATAGTTGACTCTTTACTGCTTGAGCCACACTCCAGTTCATTTTGCCCTGGTTATTTTGGAGATGGAGGTCTCAAGTACTTGCCCATCTTGGCTTCCAACCTCAATTCTCCTAATCTCAGCATTCTCAAGTAGCTAGGATTACAGGTGTAAGCCATGGGCACCAGAATTAAATCTCACTCTTAACAAAAACAGCAGATAAATATCACTTTAAACTTTCTCAACTCTATTCTCCCTTTAAGTTAAGCTCTATCTGTACTTAGTCCCAGATCACCTCTCTCATGGGTGGTAGTGCCTTCAAACCATCAGACATCACTCACCGGCAGGTGCACAGACTGCATGTAGAAGGCAGCAGGAACCTGGGCTACAACAGGTGAAGAGGTGGTAGCCCCACCCTTTACTACATGTGCTGTTCCCTGCATAGGAGCAAGGCTCATCCCAGGGGCCAAGGCAGGAGGACATTCCTGCAGCGCACCAGGAGCCTGGGACGAAGGTGGTGAGGAGGCCAAATGGGCCTGGCCAGGCTGCACTGTACCTGGCATCCCTCGGGAAGTAGGTACAGCAGCTGCCAGCTGTGCCAAACCTAAAGCCTGTGCCTGGGCTGTACCTGGCTGCCGGGTACCCACAACTTGCACAGGGATGTGGGGTGGTGGTTGTTGAGCAGCTGACATCTTGGCAGTTCCTAACTGAGGAGGCTTGATAGGTGCTACAGATGGTTTGGACTGGATAGGGATTGGTGGCTTGGGGGTTGGGTCAGGTGGAAGGGACAGGGGTGAAGACTGAAGCATGGGTTGAACCACCAGGGTCTGGGCTTGCTGTTGGGACTGGGAAGGTGGGACCTGCTGAGTAGGTGGGACCTGGGGTGGCTGAGGGGCAGTGAGGGTTGTAGCCTGCTGCTGCTGTGGCTGCTGCTGCTGCTGCTGTTGTTGCTGCTGCTGCTGCTGCTGTGCTAACTGGAGGTGTGTAGCTGTGTGAAGCAGCTGAGACTGACGGTGCTGGAACTGTTGCTGGTGGTGGATGGCAATCTGCTGCTGGATCACAACCTGCTTCTGCTGGAGGTGTATCTGCTGCTGTTGCTGAATCAGTGAATGAGGTTGGATCTGTGTGTATGTGGCTATAGGAAAAAGACCAGAATGGAACAAAGGGGAAAAGAGCAGAATAAAAATAAAATCATCGTCCCACAGTGGACCTAGAATCATACAGTGAATAGAAATCTAGCCTGCACGGAACTTGCACATCTCTTCATTCATACTCTTTCCACTGATTCAAACGTTACCAACCACCTCTAGTGTTAAAAATATCAAAGAAAGAACTGCTGTGCCTGATAACATGACAATCCTCAGTCATTTCTTGTGTTTATTTTCTTTACTATACTTAAACACCTATCCTTTTACTCTGTTCTCAGCAAAGGAGAACAGAGTAATATGATCAGAATTTGACTTCTCAAAGGCTGAGTACATGTTTTATTTATTTTCACATCCCTAAGACCCAGTCTCTGACACATGAGAAACATTTACTATTCACTGAAAGAATATCCACAAAGTTAAAGATAGCAACATCTTCCTATGAACACCTCAGTTTTTAAAGTTCATCAGTTCAGGTTGCCATCTAAGAAGTCTTAAGAGTCAGTGGCTTGTAAGCTTTGACTACTCATTTCCTCCACTGCAAACTTGGGTGGGAATTCATCAATTCCACCCCTCCATATTTTACCATTGTCTGGAGAACACACAAAGAATGTGATATGAAAGCACTTATGGAATGGAAGTGCTACAGTATTTAAATACCTAATATTAGCAACAAACTAAATTTTGTGACTAAATTATTCAAGAATATCAATATTAGTGATTCAGGTGTTAGAAACGAAGGAGGCAAAAATCAAGTAAGATATACACATTTAACTTTATCTTCCCACAATCTGAAAAAAAGTAGAACTATTTAAGATTACCATTACTACTTACTGTTTTTTATATCAGAAAGAGGAATACAAGTTGACTACACTTAGCATTGTTCTATTTGCTAGTCTTAAGTGCTTTACCTGCTTTACATTGGACCAACTAGACAGTGAGGAAAGAATTCATCCCTTATACTAAACTGTATGTAACATGAGGAGAGGAAATCTGCTTTTCAAAGATGCATCGCCTGCTCAGTAAGCAATTCAGTAAGAATTGTGTGAATGAATAGGTAGAATGAGTAAACTAAAGAACTCAAAAGACCTAAGAAAATAGACAAGGCACCTTGTAAGCTTGGGGGAAACACATAATCTTCATCTGTTTCTGAGCTAGTGTATTTAAGTATAATGTAATTCTTTCCTTCCACTACTACAGGGCCAAGAGAAACAAAAAAGTGGCAATGAAAAGTAATCTGAGATTTGAAATGACTTCTGAAAGGTTAATGACAATGTGAGAGATGACAACTTACCTGAGCTTATAAGTGTCTGGCTGGGTGCAGGTGTAGCTGTTCGTGTCAGATTCATGCCCACATTCTGCTGACCACTCCCATCTGCTTCTGCCTTCTTGGCCGCTGCACTTTCTGCCTCTGTCTGGCTGCCCTGGCTCACAGTCACTGTTTGGGCTGCAGGCAAGGGCTGTACTACTCCTGTGCCCTTCCTGGGACAGCTTGCACCACCCATTCCTGAGGAAGGCAACTGACCTAAACCCCCAGGTGTCTGGCTACCTCCACCTGGACCCATGGACCCTGGGAGACTATTCCCACTGCCTCCAGCAGCTTGACTAAGGTTGAGGGACTGGCCTGAGGCCCCAGAAGAAGCCTGTGCCACAGCTAAGGCCTGGCTAGAGGCCTGGGAGAGACTAGACACAGGAGAGGCTCCAGGAGGAATGGCCTTCTGAGTAGAGCCTGGAATTTGGGGTCCTTGGGCTGAGGCCTGTTGGTTCCTCACTGCCAAGTTCTGCACCTGAAAGACATTTTTTAAAAGTAGATTGCTGTGACTGACTCAAAAGCATTAAAGATAGCTGCAAAGTCATATTCGATTACACACTCAATATATTCCGGCCCTATCTCTATAACAATACATATTACAGGCCTTCTAGTCTCCCAGAGGGGAGCTTTTTAACATCTGACTTTTCAGTCTCCTTTATTCACTATCAAGTCCACCACCAAGTTTCATCATTCTTTCCTTCAAAGTGTCTCACATTTTCCCTTTCCTCTATCCATTCATTCAATACCTACCCAATACCTATGATACTTCAGGTACTACACTGGATACTAGAAATGTAGGGATGAAAAACAGTCCTTGCTCCCAATGAATACTTTCTGTTAGAGGAGAAATTCACCAAGTGTAGTATAATAATCTACATATATATATATATAAAAAACAAGTTCTATGAGAGAACAGAGGAGGAAAATCAAGTTAAACTAAGGAGATCAAGGAACACTTCCCAACACAGAGAAGTGATATCTGTTGTGAGACTCTGTAGATATTAGTGAGGTACAAATACCAACAAATTTGCAAGACTACACAATCAAGAAAGAGCACAGCATTTTTAGAAAGTATAAATATTTCATTATGCTTGCTTATAGAAAGAAATTAAGAAAGATAGATTGGTGCTAGGGAGGAAGAAAAGTGCTAGATCACTAAGAGCCTAGTATGTTAAAATAAAGACAGTCTGAACTTTAACTTAGAAACAGCAAGTGTTTTTTTTTTTTTTGGGGGGGGATTGTTTTGTCTTATTCACTGTTATGGACCTAGCACCTAACACAGTGCCAGGCATACAGTGTTCCAAGATGAGTAGAGAAAAGGAATGATGCCTACTCATACTGGTTATAAGAAGCCACTGAAGAATATTAATCAGAATAAATATGATCAAACCTAGAGTTGAAACCATTGTTTTATAAATACTTTGGAAAAAAACTGCCATCATATGCTAAAGCTGAATATTCACATACACACTCAAACCTCGAGTTCCACGAGGTAAACTCCTGCCATGTGCAACAAAAGCCATGTATAGGAAAGATCCTAGCAATACCATTCAGAGTAACAAAGGCCTGGAAACAATCCAAGTTGCCATCTATAGATTATATGAGGTATAAACTATAGTATGTTCACATAATAGAGTATTATATAAAATTAAAATTAATAAACAGTGACTACAAAACAAATGGATCTCAACAATATGTTATTAAGAAAGTATTCTCAGGCTAGATGATCCAGGGCTGTATGCCTATAGTGCCAGCTCCTGGGGAAGCTGAGGCAGGACAATCACTTGAGCTCAGGAGTTTGAGATAAGCCTGAGCAACACAGAAAGAACCTGTATCAAAAAAGAAAAAAAAAAAGATTCCCCAAAAAATTACATACAAAACAAGTACTTTGAGAATTTAAATACTAATAAAACACATAATAGATATATAATATAGATTATTTGCATCTTACTGTATTTATGTGTATATGTGTGGACATACACACAAACTGTATCTTTGCTTCAAATGAATCCATAGGCAGAAGGGAAGAGCCTGAACAGAATGGCCATGTGTTGGTATCTGTGGAAGCTGGATGATAGGCACATAAAGATTCATATTTTTGTTTTTATATATGTTTGAAATTTTTCATCACAAAAATATCTTCTAGAATTTCTAGAAGGTACATAAAAGTACCTTCTAGAAATATATAGAGATATAACAAAACTAAAATAAAAGGGACCCAAGAGAAGGATGAACCTAGAAATCAGAATGATGGATATCATGGAAAAAGGCAGATAGAAGTGAGCAAGTGTTCATTATATTTTGTTCTTATTTTGTAGTGCTGGGTATTCAACCAAAGGCCTCATGCACGCTAGCGAAGTGCTCTACCACTGAGCTACAACCCCAGTCTGCTTATTACATTATTAAAAATTACTGAATAAATAAATAAAAGTGGGCCATGTATGGACCAATGATGAGAATGTTATGACCAAGGACTATCATTTATCAAATTGTGCGCGCTAGAGGTACAACTTTTTTAAAGATAGTAATGAAATGTTCCTTATTTTTTAAAAAAACATCCTAGCAGTAATGTGGAAGAGGATTACAAGCTGATTAAGACTGAAGACAACCAGACCATTTAGAAAACTAGTGAAGTTCTGCCAGGTGGAATAACCTGAATTCAGACAGCAGCAGTAGAGACAAGGGCCTGCCTTTGGAGAGACATTTACCCAGGTCATCAGACCTGGGTGCTGGGGCAGTTACAGTTTTTCTTCTTTTTGGAGGTACTGAGGTTTGAACTCAGGACCTCATGCTTGCTAGGCAGGTGCTCTGCCACTTGAACCATGTCACCAGCCCTACAGTTTTTCTAATCAGCTTCCTTTCTGCAAAGGCTATTCAAACTTTCCTACTCTCCCTATGCCTCAGAACCGCCTCTTTCTCCTTTCACTCTTCACCTCTGCAGCGAATATAAAAACCATATCAGCTCCACCACCAGTTACCTACATATGTCCCTACCACTTCTCCCTTCAGTCTCTACTCTTCCTCCTAGCAAAGGACAGTCCTTCTCTATGCTCCGGATCTACCTCCTCCAGCCTTCCAAGAAGCTTATCACATCAACTGTCTTCTATCTTATAACCTCTCCTCTTACCAACCCCTCCCCCATCACTGTTTGAACGCTGCATTCCCCTCCCAGCTTTGCCATCCTTTTCCAGTGTCTGCTAACCTCTTGTGTACATTCATTCACACTCTCCATTCATTCCTCAAATTCATACTTCTTCGGATTCAACCCCTCCTCCAACTCCACAGAACTAGCTCTCCCTCCACCTTAAGAAATCCATCCTTTTCTCTTTACTACATCTGAAAGAGATGAGCAGGTGTGTAAGTACATAAGCGCACATGCATGCATGTCTTCTAATATCCTATTCCCTTGTCTTTATGACACTACAGTCCAGACTTGCCTTTCTCTCTTGCTCTTTCTTGCTTGCCTTTGTCAGACCATCATCCTCAACCTAATTTGAACTACTTTTCTAAGGACTCATCCTAAATCTTAAGAGAGAGGAGAGAAGGAGGGGGAGACAGAGAGAGTGGGAATGGGAAAGGGGGAGAGGGGGAGGGTGGAGAGGGAGGAGGGGGAAAGGAGGGGACAGAGAGAGAGAGACTCCTCCCCAGGTACTTTTAAAACTTATGCTAATCTATGGGAAAGGAAGAACCAGGGATTCCCATCCAATAATCAATGAGTAGAAAGGGGCACGAATGGCTCCTGGCCAGGTGAGGTGGTCCCTGAGCCAAAGCAATATTAATCTGAGATGTAATATTTTTTGAGTCCTGAACTTTCCCTAATTTTAGCCTGCCTCCACAGCTCCCAAGACCCTGCAAGATGAGGTCCCTCTCACTTGTCTAGCACCCTCTGCCAAACTCCAGGACAAGAAGCCTTCTTTTAATCCCTCAAACAAACCAAGCTCCTTCCCTCCTCAGGACCTTTAGACATCATGTTTTCCTGGCCTTCATCACTTTACCACATCCACACCTGACCACCTCCTTGATTTCTGTCCCCCATCCGAAGGCAAAACTAAGTCCCTTTGCATGTTCTTAGAATAATACCCTATCCTTTCTAATGAAGCAATTATTATACCATTCCAGTGACTGTTCAATGTCTATGGCTTTAATGGTCCATCATCTTCATGATCATGACTTTCTTGGGCATCTAAGACTAAGGAATGTCTTCCAGACACTGTTCAAGCAATATAAGCCCATTTAGCCTTCACAACACACCATGAGGCAGAGTTGTGTGTGTATATGTGTGTGTGTTATGGTGAGAACTGGGCTTTGAACTCAGGGCTTTGAGCTTGCAAAGCAGGATCTCTACTACTTGAACCACACCTCCAGTCCATTTTACTCTGTTTATTTTGGAGACAGGATCTCACAAACTATTTGCCTGGGCAGGACTTGAACCACAGTCTTCTGAATCTCAGCCTCCCAAGTAGCTAGGATTACAAGTATGAGCCATTGGTACCCAGCAGGAGGTAGGAATATTATAAATCTATTTTATAGATGGAGAAACCACAGAATTAGATTTTAGGTCATTTTCCCAAGGGCATTCAATTAAGTAGTGAGGCTAGAATCTCACCCAAACATAACAGGCATGTTTTTAATTACCACCCACCCTATGTCCCTCAACATACTGATACTCAAATAGTTGCTGAATGAATAGATTAATAAATCTGAATGAACAGATGAATAAATAAAGGAACTGTATATGGAAGCAAGACCAACCTCATCTTTGGCTCTCACTGCTACTACCAGTGTCCAGTGAAGGTCTTACTTTTAATTTAAGAGTGTTTCAGCAGTTTCCCAAACTTCTCTTCTTCAGGCACATACTCCTAGATGATTTATCTCTCAAGCACTTTTCTTATCCTATTAGTTTGTTGTTCAATAGCCAGTAATGGCTCTGCCACCTACAAAGTTAACTATAACCTCCTTTTCTTGACTTTCAGGCACCTCTCTAATAATGGCCCCTTCTACCTTTCAGACTACTATAATCATGTTTTTTGGATTTTTTTATTTTGTGCAATGGTGGCAACAGAATCCTACCACTGAGCTATATCCCCAGACCTGCTGTCTCCACATTGTCCACTTTCTCACCACCAATCCCACCATACACTTTTATTTACGTAAGTGAACTAACTATACCTAACACTTACTGTTTTCTCTCCAGTTTTCCCTACTCCAAATTAAACGCTGCCTATCCTATAAGACTCTGTTCAAGTACACAAAAATATAGCCAACTCTTCTCTAAACTCATGTCACTCAAAGTTAGTACCATTTAGTTTAGCACTTTTCTTCTCTAAGCCACATACAGTAAACCACCTTATTAGCAGATTTAATACAATTTTGACCAAATGTAGTTCAAAAAATTAAATAAGTAAATAAATAAAAGAAATTTCAAAAACAAATTTTTTTAATTCCCACATGTGCATTACACTGCTCAACTAATGCAAAGAAATTCTCAGTCAGTCCCACATTATCAACAGTTGAGATCTGCTGCGTTTTCCTGCCCTTAGTCTTGTGAAAGTATGCCTCCTGAAAAGCAAATGGTGCCCAAAATGCAAGGTAAAAGTTATGGCAATCCCTCCAAACCAAAAAGGGTAAGTAAAGTGATAAAATAAAAATTTCAAATTTGTTTTGAAAGGCAGCATGTCTTTAGCAGAAGTTAGATGGCATTATGGGAAAAATAATCGAGTATTCAGAGTATTCAAATAAAGAACATAAACTAAGATCAAGCTTTTGATGAGCAGTATTAATATGCACAACATAAATTTTGTGACAATAATGTAGCCTACTCCATGCAATTTCAATTTATGGGTACTCAGAGCTACAGTATGTACAATATAGATAAATTTGAGTAATTTTAGAGTTCTGAACTCTATCCTGAGTATTTGTGGTTTCTCAATGGTGAGCTCTTTGGAACCACATACCCTGGGATACCAAGGGTCTACTGTGTTTTTTATTCCTCCCAGTACATATTTGAGCAAATCAATAAAAAAGCTCAATATTTACTTGCTGACAGACTAACAGAATGAAACAACTAGTATAAGATCCTACTTTATATCCCATACATAAGCTAAAAATTAAAATATATATGTTCAGAGAACAAGTCACAAAAAGCAATGGTGAGGAAGACTTTTCCTAGAAAAACAGTTAATAGAAGCAGGAAAGTGAAAGTTGAGAATTATAGTAACTCATGAGCAAGAAGCAGCAAATACTCCTCCAGCAACTCAGCCAGGTCCTTCACATGTAACTAAGAACACAATTTCCTTAGCCATCCCTTATCTTCAAGAGACACTACTATGATAGAATTAAAATTAAGACTCTTAATAAAATTTAGCCAGAGGACTAGCAGGGTGGTCAGAAAAATTACCTAGTATTAAAAGACTTCCCAGATCCCTAGGGCTCTTTTTAGGCAATTCTACTCCCCTTTCTAACTCAAATCAGCTCAAAAGCTATAAGGCATTCAAGTTTTATAGGAGTTAAGGAGAGGGAAAATGACATATACACAAAGTAAGAATTCTGAAAAGCAGTAATAGGGCAGAGGGTGGGGCCTGGTCCATGGTTGTTCCCTCCATGCTCCCCAGCACTCGCCCACAGCAGAGTGGTTGCCACTGACCTGATCTGCATCTGCATGGACTCCAGGAGACTGTGCAGATGGCACCTCCTGCTGGACGGCAGCCACTGCCCCGTTAGGCATCAGGATGAGTTGGGAGGCTAGAGGCACATTCCGGCCCAGGGTCCGGTTTACCTGCAATAGGTTCCCCAGCTGTGGCTGGCAAGGAGAGGAGAAGAAGAGCAAAGAGTACAGAAGAAAAGAGGAGACAGAAGAAATGGAAGGACCACAAGACAAAATAAACAGCTGATATTAAACAGCTAAGCCCTGCCTCGTTCCACACCAACCCAGGAACTTCTTATCCTCCATGTGATGTATCATCGAGAAGAAAACCTAGAATGTATAGAAAACTATGGACTGACAACAAAAAGTCAAACATCAAAGAAGTTTAGACAAAAAAGACTAGCATAAGTAGTTATGTATAGCAAGCAGATAAGCTGAGAAATACAGCACTTGAGAGTTTGTGTACCTGAGCCGTTAAGTCCAAATGTTAGATTACATCTAACACTAATTTAGTCAAATGTTAAGACCACATCTAGCATGGGATCTCAATGGTATCTGAAGACCACCTGTGAATACTGAGCATCACCTCTAGTGTAAGGCATAGGAGGGAAATAGATCAGCTTGTCTCAAAACATCTGAGTAACCACAGTTATGTAAAACAGCTTTCAGGCTGGAGTGCAGCTCAGTGATGGAATACTTGACTATCATGCATAAAGCCCTTGGTTCCTTCCCCAGCACACAAAAAACCAAATAAGTAAATAAATAAAAGAGCTTTCACGCAAGTCCTTGGCCAGAGAAAGCACAATTATGAACCATGTCCCTGGAACAATGCTGACTGCCTGTGGCTTACCCGCAGATACATCTGGGCCTGGGACTGGTTGAGGGGTGGGGAAGTGGTGTTCCCCAGTAGCACAGATTGGGTCAAGGTGGTAGCACTGGGAGAGCTCACACTCTGGGATCGACTGATAAGCTGGGCGGCCGATGTGGTAGCCAGATTGATCTGTGTGGTACAGAAAGGATCCAGGTCTAAGGACTTTGGAAGATGTAAAAAGAAATGTACACAACTGACAAATTCAGAGAAACACAATCAAGAACAGAATATCTCACTTTCATGGAGTTGAACAAATAATAACATCCCATCCAAAAACTGTCATGCCGGGTGCTGGTGGCTCACACCTGTAATCCTAACTATTCAGGAGGTAGAGATCAGAAGGATCTTGGTTCGAAGCCATCCCTGGCATTGTTCAAGAGACCCTATCTTAAAGAAAACCCATCACAAAAAAGGGTTGGTGGAGTGGCTCAAATTGTAGGCCCTGAGTTCAAACCTCTGTACCACATTAAAAAAAAAAAACAAAAAAACCCTGTCATCATGGCTATTCTCAGGTATTATCAAAAGAAAGAGGAAAAAAAACAGCCCCTAAGCACTAATGTTAACATCTGAGAAGGCAAAAAAAGGAAATGGAGATTTTATCTCTCTATGAAGAGGTGACCCTTTCCTGTGTTATCTCTTCTTCTTCCCCAGGATTCCCGTCTTCCTTCCTTATGGTTCCTCATTAGAATCCGATACAGATCCAAGTTGGTTACCTTCCCTTCAGTACTGTTCTCTACACATTGATGGCTACATTCTCAGATCTGCTGCACAAAGCAGTTTAACCCAGAGAAGACCATACAAGTCCCCACAGAGGGAGGGGCAGTACTCACTGAGGCCTGGGTAGTTGTGGTCTGCTGCTGTGTAGTGCTGGTGTTTGAAGAGCTGGCCTGCCGACTAGCAGCAATCGTAGCCTGTTAAAAGGGAAGTATAACAGAGACAATGCAGGAGAAAGCTCAGTCTTCCAGTAATAAATCAGAGACACAAAACAGAGACTTCAGGTAAGAACAGAGACTCTACTCTAGCATAAGGAAGACTGTATTCACTACCCCAGTAACCCTCCCATTACCACCTATGCTAACTCAATAACCTTCACATAGCCTTCCTGGCTCAGACAGACAATCTGTCCTACATCTCTGGCTTTCTTTTAGGTAGAAGATCAACCTATGGTCAGTTCAAAACATAAGTCACTGATAAATCTAGTGCAAAGTTATCCAATACAAACATAATGTGATCCACAAATATAATTTCCTATTATGCACATTATAAAAAGAAACAGGAGAGCTGATGGAGTGGCTCAAGTGGTACAGTCACCTCCCTAGCAAGCATGAGGCCCTGAGTTCAACCCCAGTGCTGCCCCCCCAAAATAAAAAGATTACCTAAAAAAAGAACAGGAGATGTTAGCTTTAATAATTTAATTTAACCCAATGTATGTAAAATAAATATTATATGGGGTTGGAGGTATGGCTCAAGTGGCAGAGCACCTGCCTAGCAAGCACAAGGTCCTGAGTTCAAACCTCAGTACCACCAAATAAATAAGTAAATAAATATAACATTTATTTATTTTTTTGGTGGGGGGGATGATTCCTAAGGATTGAACCCAGGCTTTCATACACACAAACACATTTTCTACCACTGAGCTACACCCTCAGCCCCTAAAATATTACCATTTCAATGTGAAATTGATATAAAAAAATTACTGAGATATTTACATTCTTTTGTCATCCCAAGTCTTGAAACTAAAACCTTATAATACATCTTAATTTGGACTAGCCACATTTCACGCAATCAATAGCTACATGTGGATAGTAATGCCATACTGGACAGAGCATGTCTGCAGCAGTCATTCTACCTCTAAAATGTGATTTTCCCATAGTTCTTACTGCAACTCCAGAAACTAAGATCCATCCATCCTCCTCCAAGAGGATAGGAGGCAAAGGAGATTACCTTAGTGCAGGATGTGGTATGCCCAGAATTCTCCCCTACCCACCTGTAGTGCCTGTGCCCTCCCTCTTGGGCCAGCTGGCTGCTGACCGCTCACCTGCTGGACGGCAGCCAAGCTGTGCAGCTGGGCATTACTGAGCTGCTGCTGGAGCATGAACTGGTGGAAATACTGAGCTGCATTGGGCTGCCGCTGCAGTGCCTGCAAAGCCTAAAGGAAGACAGACAGGAAACAACATTAGAATAGATCACTGCTAACTCCCTCTCTATGCAAATCACCATAATTACCAGAATAGGAGTCATGGAAGGAGAGAAACCAAAGAGATGGGAGGTTGGGCTAAATCATCAACATCTGACTTGTCCATTTTTATATTAGAACCAGTAAGTCTATACAGTCCTCTAAAAATTGGGAAAGCATTTAATAATATGGTCTATCCTAACAAATAAAGAAAAGTAAAGCAGTACAATTCATACCAACTTACTTCCCAAAATAGGACCTCGACATACATGATATAGCAAGAACAACACAGGTTAAAAATAAATGGGATATCAATTAATGTAAAGAAAAGAAAAAAAATGAAAGACTATCTTCTAGGTAGACAGTAAGCAGTATGGAAACCTAAAGGGTTAGAAACAATGGAAAAACAGAATACGGAGTGGCTTCTGAAAGATTCTGTCAGGTAAATTTTTCAACAAGTTGGCATTTTCACATGTCTATAGTATAATACTAATCGATGTTTACTAAAACAACGCTGTCAGTTCATTTCAGTGTTAACTGGATTTTACTATATTCCTATTCTTTAACTATTACAAGTGTTCGTATGATGTGCAGTTATTCTAGTAACCAAAATCCCTTCTTACTTAAAGTAAAAAGCTTTATCACAAACACAATTTTTAAAACATGAAATTTGCTATTTGTCTAAACAAAAATCTAGGAAGCCCATGATACTTCCATGAATTAGTCAGGGTAATTTATAAGAAAGGTCAAAAGGCCTGGCACCAGTGGCTCATGCCTACAATCCTAGCTACTTGGGAGGCTGAGATAGCAAGGATCGTGGTTCAAGACCAGCCCACCCAAATAGTTTACAAGACCCTATCTCCAAATCACCACAGCAAAAAATGGACTAGTGGCATGCTCAAGCGGCAGAGCACCTGCTTTGCAAGCACAAAGCTGAGTTTATACCCCAATCCCACCAAAAAAAGAAAAAAAAAAGGCCAAAGATCAAAAACCTGATAACCCAGGAGAGAAACAGCTACAGTCTAGCTAGACTGAATGTTATTTGAAAAATTCTTACTTGAAAAACTGAATTTCACTCTCTATTTGCTTGTACAAACTTTTGTAAACTCTTAAGATTCTCAGAGCTGGAAAGGTCCCTATTCATTACCTAATCTAACTGTCTCCAAGAAACTGAGGACAATTATCTTGCAGCATCTTTGCCTACCCCACACCAATACTCACAGCCGCTCAAGAGTTGAGGCTCACCTGCACTGCTTGCCGTTCATACAGGGACATTTGGGCTATCTGGGGCCGAGAGTTGCTCCCTGAGCTGGAACTCCCATTGGTGGAGCTGGAGTTCTGCTCACTCTCAGTCTCCATGATAGCGTTCCAGGGTCCCGGGGGGTGGTGCTCTGACTCAAGACCTAGATGAAAGCAGTAAAGGATTAATCTAACTGTTATTTTAGGCTATTAAGTCAGGACTTACCACAGTAAGTCTAAAAGCTATCTAAGATCTTCCTTGTGGAAGATCACAGAACTCGAATCTGCAATACAATCTTTCAACCGTATCTTCCTCTCCTTACCATCTTCTGAAGCTATTTACTCACTGTCTCAAAAGAAGTTAACTTTTACTGATTCCCTCCTGGCTGTCATTAAATAAAATGGTAAGAATATAACAAGGCTCCTTATAATACTGAAGTCAGTTTATACCCCTGTGGTGCTTTTTTAACATCTGAAAGCCTCCCCCTCTAAAATTTGCTGTTATTTTTATCTACATCTCCATCATTATCATTTTAACAATAGTCAGATTACCGGGAAGCCTCTAGCTTCCTCCTTTCTCTGGGCTGTGCCCTTCACCTATACTGTTATTTCTCACAATGCTATAAGGTAAAAATTACCCTCATTTTATAATGGTGAATATCAAGTCTTTACAGTAGTATATGTTTCTTCCTCAAACCAAAAGATCTGTGATTAAAGCAGTATCACCAGATGAGTATTTATTATCCTCACTTGTGGAGGCTGGCCTTAAAATACAGATCTGTTGAGTGAGTCATGGAAGGGCATTAAAGGTAGAGGCAGAGGAGCTAATGTATAGCCCAAATAGCACCTGGTTCCAGCCCAGGCCACTAGAAACAACTCAGGCATGCAACTTTTCTTCCTTATACCTCAGTTACCCTGTTTGCAAAGGTATCACACTGAATCTAGTACATCATTTTAACAATGACTCCCAGGTATGACACATATTTCATATATATATATATATATATATATATATATATATATATTTCAACTTTTTAGCCTATGAAAGTATCAGAATTTACCCCCTGGGGACTATCAAAATTTGCAAAAAGACACATGAAATCATTGCTAAGAACTAAGCAGAGACAAGAAATGAAAAGAAATATTCCTCCAAAGCAGTACTCGATGACAACAAATGCTTTTGCTCATTCTTGGTTTTTTTTTTTCTCTTTTGTTAGACTTACATACTATATTCTCTACTTTTGAGACACTGGAAATATCAAGTCACCAAAGCACTATTTGGTTTAGCAACATAAACATCAAACCAGAATCTCTGCTAAGGGCTGTCAACAGTTTTATTAGGTGAATGGATTTATCTGAGGAATTGTATCCCAAGCAAGTAAACGAAAGTCAAACCACTTGTCCCTGGTAATAAAGTTGAGCAGATTTCTCCTTATTTCATTCCCAGCATCATTGGATCACATCATCACCCCCCAAGAACTCTACCCATCTCTTCCATTTCATTTAGGAACAGCAAATGTGACCACAAACATGGACATAATCCAAAAGGTACACAGGAGAAATCTTGTCAGTTTTAACTCCAGTCTACCTTCTCCCCATATCTTTTGCCAAAATATCAAAGCACTAAACAGATACAGACCCATGAGTCCTCATTATCAGCATGTGAAGAAAAAAAGTGGGTAAGGATTAGAGGCAGCACGGCATAGTTGTAGAGATTACTGGATTTATCTCACTAGACTCTGAGACATGAGACCCTATTACTAGCTACAGTGGGAACATTAATTCCTACAGGCATGTGTAAAAATGCTCATAAACTCTGAGACCCCCTCATCTCCCCCAAAAATGGAAGTCTTATTAATATTTTTTTTCAGATTGTTCAATAGAAATAGAAATGGAAAGGAACCAACTTAACGTTGGTTTCAAAATTGCCATCAAAACCAGGATTCCTGGATCCCAAGCACTTAATTCGTGTGTGATCGATGTTGTGACTGCAAGGTGAAACACAGAAAGTGCAGACAACGAATAGTTTGGGAGGCACAATGAACTGAAATTTTCTGAATTAAACTGGAAGGGAGTGTGAGGAGGTGGTCTGGTCATTCTGCAAGGCAGCACTGGGTGTGTACGGGACCCACTGGGTAGGCACACAGACCTGTAGATCGGAACTAGAATGGGATTTTGAAGGGGACCTGGTACTGAGCCTATTGGGTCAAGAGTTGGAGGAAGTAAATATCCCTAAGTATAAAAGAAATTTGTCTTGCAGAAAGAATGGGGCATGAGAAGGAAGACAGAGGAAGGACGGTGGTCCGGGGAAGACTGCCAAAGGGGTTCTTGTTCTGGAGAGAAGGGTGATGAAAATGCCAGTGCCAACAGAACTCAAATGGACCGTGGGAAGGGGGTGAAGAGTGGTGTGCCGGGAGCTAAGTGATCGAATGGGCAGAGAAATGTGCATTCTGATAGTGGGGAGACAGGCAGTGGGGACCCGGAGCACAAGCCAGGGACAGCATGCTCGGGTGGAAGGACCCAAGTCAGACAGGGGGAATGAATGGGAGGTGAGTGGCGAGAGGCGGCTGGGGTGACTGACGGACAGACGGACGGAGCAGCGGGAAGGAAGCAGCCCCGGGCCGCGGCGCGCAGGGGCGCCGAGGTGGGCAGGGACAGCGCCCGGGGGAGGTACCTGGCGTCACGCCGCCCGAGGTGGCCGAGCGCCTGCCCCGCGCGGCCCGGCCCCCGGAGGTCCTGCCCTCCCCGGCCCGCGGCTGCCCGGTTACCTCCGCGCGCGGCTCTGCACCCAGGTCCTCGCGGGGGGCGTCCACCTCATGTGCAAGGGGGTGGGGGGACCCCACAGTCGCCGGGCTGGGCGGGGGGCTCGTCGGCCTCGGCGGCGGACTCCCCTCGCCGCCTCCCCTTCCTGGAGGGGCGGGGGCGCCGAGGGCGGGGTGGGAGGTGCCCGGCGCGGCCGCAGCTCCCCGCCCCTCCTGCCGCTCCGGGTGCCGGCCCGGCCGCGGCTCCGCCAAGCCGAGGGGCTCGCTCGGGGCCTGTCACTTCCTGCCCGGCCGAGAGGTGGGGGCTACAGGCCGGGGGCTGCGGGCCGGGCCGGAGGAGGGGGCTGGCGGGGAGGTGCTTCCGGGGCAGCCGGACCCCTCCCCCGGTCCGCCCCCTCCCCTCCCGCGCGTCCCTCGTTTCCTGCCGGCGCCCGTTGCCATGGCGACGCCGCTACCGGGCCTCTGCGCTCCAGGCCCTGGGGTTGCTTTTTTTTTTTTTTTTTCCTTCCCCCCTCCGCTTTCTCTATCGCTCTCTTTCTTTTTTTTTCCCCTCTCCTTTCTTTCTCCGGCTTCTGCTCGCCCCCTGGAAGGAGGAAGCTAAGAAAGTGCTGGCCCCTAGTGGGGAACTCACCTCTCTCTCTCGGAGAGGAGAGGGAGATGGGAGAAGGCCGGGAAGTGACGTGAAAGGAGAAAAAGAAGGGATTTTCTGCATGTTCTGGGAATAAGGCATAGAAAGAAAGGATCAAAGGGGCCAACAGGCAGACGGAGAAACAGCAAAGCAACGGCCCCAGAGAAATCAGTGTCTGGCAAAGGAAAGAAAAACTTTAAGAGTGAGGGAAAGGAGAGGGAAGGTTGATTGTTTCCATCCCTCACCTCAACTCCAAGAAGGCGGGAAAGGAGCAGCGCACCCATTAGGAGTTGACATCCACTTAAAGGCAGAAACCTCATATAGCTTGTCTTAAAGAACACCTAAGTCTGCAGATTCAGAGACTGTGTGCTTTGTGTTCCTCGATTTACATTTGCATGTAAAAGCTAGAACGACAAAAACAATGGGAAGGGCAAGGTGTAAAGAGATGTATAACAATGGTGCTGTTTTGGGGAACCTAAACATTTGATGGAGGAAGACTTTGTCGTGTTGTTTATGACATCAATTTATGACTGTTTAATAACTCAGTCTTTCTACCTTCATAGAGCACCTACTATGCACTGGCCATTATTCTAGAAGCTTGAATCTGTGTACAAAACAGATAACTGCTCCCATTAACCTGTACAGAAGCGGTGGGGTGTTCCCTTGTTTAATAGCTAGGACTGATGCGTTTCTATTGCTGTCTTAGTCTTTTGCTAACCACTTATTTCTCTACTAACCCACTCTTCATTCTCTCCTTTAAAAGCCCATGTGTGATTTGTATTTAGAGAAAAAAATTGAAGTGTTCTCCTTATTTATAAATTATATTCATATAGGCTTGTATTAAGAGTATTTTAACTGCAGCTCTTAATTTGTGGTAGCCAGATTTATGTCAGGTAAAATTTCTGCCAGGCTTCTAGGAACCAGTCAGACAAGTATTTGAGAGAAGAAACTGAGGGCAGCCAAAGGCCTGGATAAGAGAAAACAAGGTGTGGGAAGGTGAAAAGGTAGGTTGCCAGCCATGGATGACAGACCTTGGCTGAGGATGAATTGAAAAGACTCTGGCAAGGAGACCCAGTGGTTAAAAACTAGGTGAAGCATTAATCACTTAATTCACACCTAAATTCTTGGCATGTCAAAGAAACTTTAAAAGCTTTCTTGCAGAAGCTTACAAATGGATATATTTAGCCTAAGCTGAATTTAAGACCAATGAAAATGGACCTATGGAAGGTTTTCAAATTATACAATCTAAAGACCAAGAAACATTACTCATATGTTTCCACAGGAGAACTATCACTGTTGAAGGATCTAAAGAAAACCTGTAGTATATTCCAAAAATAAGGAATCAAGTTGCCAGAAGGTATTTGCTTATTTCTCCAAAAACCTATGGAACTTGTATACCGTCTCAATAGCACATAGCCTTCACATTTCAGCTCCTTTAGAATCACTACTGCTGCGTATAATTACATTCCACTTCAAGATTGTGTGTGTGTGTGTGTGTGTGCTTCCTGGGTCACTGGCTCCTACATCTACTAGCTATAAAGGAATAAGATAATGATGTATAATTTCATTGAGTGCCTGATACAAATTTAGCCTGAGAATATTCTTATCACAGAGTATGCTATATTGATTATGAGCCAGTAGTTCTATTCTCATATGTAAAGGTCTCTCTGAGACAGATCAGTTTTCCAAGGTCATAGGTCTAGGCAATTTCCACTAAAATAAATTTAGCATAAAAAAGAAACATATCTACAGCAAACTGAACTTACAGGAAAGCTTCCATCCATAAGAAAATCATCTTGTAGAGTAAAGTAGCTTGAGAGCAGGCACTAAAGAGTTATCTCAGTCTAAACAAAGGAGAATGATCTGTGTTCCCTAGAGAATCTTCAGCTGACTTCTTTTTTATTTTTTTCTTTTTGTTAAACTTTCTCATTTTCATTTAATGATTCTGCTGGAATTAGTCTTTTCTTTTTCAAATCAAATAGTTCCTCTGAATAGAGACTAGATAATTTCTTTTCTCTGCATAACACTGAAGGTCATTTAGCCTAAACATGTGACAAGGAAATGCATTCAACCTGTTTTGTAGAAATGGAAGCCCTCCTGCAAACTTATCTAAATAAGGAAAGACCCGGATTTGAAAGGAAGTCATCTATTTGGCAGCAACTAAAACAAAAAGAATAGAAAGTAAGCTAATATTTTGCATTGAGCATTGAATAGCATTCATTAGCTTCCCCTCTAAACCCTCCCTTGTGCAGGGTACCGTAACAAAGAAATGGTTCTTACCCTGGATGTGGTAGTGTTACTGGAATGCATCTATCTATAATTAATCAAGAATGTGTGACCATGGTTTTATGCAAATATGGATAAGACTAAGTAGAGAAAAGGGAAATCATAACCTTTTTTCTAAAACACATACTAATTTATTGTGAATAAGAGCCATCATACACACCCCACCCCCATCTCCCCACAATTCTTTAGGCCACTTTAAGGTCTTGTTGGGAGAAAATGAAGATTAAGAAGATTTCTAGACTCTTGGATATTTAAAGCCAAAGAACATTTAAATTATCCAGGTCTCTCAGTTTTCAGTGGAGAAAATAAAAACCTAAAAAAGATACATGTAGAAGGGAGACATTTCAGAGCTGGAGGTATGTATAGGTCAGTGGTTGAGCATGTGTAAGGCTCTGAGATGGATCTCAACACCACAAAAAGAAAGGAGCAGGAAGAGGCAGACATTTCATAATTCCTGGCAAATTGAAAATGTCTAATTATAGTTAACTAAATTTTCTTGATTCTTGTTCTCTCAAATGAAAAGAATATGGAATTAAAGGTTATAAGGGTAGGGTGCCTCTTATCACTTGCCATTAATACCTTTTCTTCAAAGCAATTTTAAATTAACGATTGTTCAACTCAGTATTCCATCCATCCTTACTTTCAAGAAATAGATATATCCCCACATAGATTTTTCTTGTGCGTGTGTGTGTGTGTGTGTGTGTGTGTGTGACGAGAGAGAGAGAGAGAGAGAGAGAGAGAGAGAAAGCATGTATGTAGTTGCTTTATAACTGAACTATAAGTAGCATGAGACTGAATAACATGGGCATCAACAGTTTAGATAGTTACTGTTTGAATGAGAGCAAGTCATGCTTCTCTCACCTTCGGTTCTTTCAATAAAGTGGGTCTAACACCTAGTGCTTGATAGAAATAAATGAAATGTTTATAAAGTACTTCATCCACTACCTGACGCAAACAAAGCACAAGCTCTTATTGTTACCTTTTAGTAACCCAAGTCTTTTTGCCATTACCAAATGTATCCGAACACCACTTTATTTTTTATTCAGCTTACAATTTCAACTTTACTCACAATTTAACAAGTTTATTCAGTAATGAGTTCAGTTAATGAACTTTCTGTGATTTATATAAAAAGAACATTTCCTTTCTTTGAAGCCTACCTTTGTTAGGCTTCAAATGTGCTTTCTGGTCTACTATTTTAGATTAGTTAGGGTACAGATTCATGTTGATACCAAGCACTAGCTTTATACCATCAGGATTTTGTGCCCTGTGCTCAGCACCTGGGAAGAGGTCTAAAGGGAAAAACAATTCAAAATACATTTTGAATCTCTGCTTATGGCTTCACACACATTGTTGAATGTAACCTTCACAATTATCTTACCTGCTAGCTATTATTAGTCTTTAATTTAACAGAAAAGGAAATTCAAGATTAGGAAGATTAGATAAATTGCTCAAGGTTCATGGGGGTAGCAAACATTGGAGTTAGAAAAAATTTTTTTGGCAGTACTAGGGTTTGACTCAGGGCCTCAAGCTTGCTAGACAGGTGCTCTACCACTTGAGCCATTCCACCAGCCCTTTTTTGTGTTGGGTATTTTCAAGATAAGGTCTCTCAAACTATTTGCCAGGGCTGGCTTCAAACTGTGATCCTCCTGATCTCTGCCTCCTGAGTAGCTAGGATTAGACAAGAGCCACCAGCTCCTGGTTTGGAGTTAGAATTTAAATTCAGGTCTGTAGAACTCCAAAACTCACAACTACATCACATGCTTCACACTGTGAAAACAGAGTAGTGCAAAAATACTTACTTAAAATGCTTAGCACACTCATATATGTTTGCACAAAGAAGCTTAACATTTGCCACTGTAAATGCCTGCAATGGGAGGCCCATTCTGCCTTTGTTGACTAAGGAAATAGCTCTGGTTATCAGTCCTCAGAGACACAGGGGAAATGTCTCAGCAAACAATAAAGAGAAATGTGTATGTGATTCCCCTACATTCTGTTTTCTGTCTTGCCTACTTGTCAACTGTGATTAGCAATAATGGACCCCAAAAATGTTCTCATCCATGAAATCTGTGAATATGTTATGCTATGTAGCAAAGGGAAATTAAAGTTGTTAATCAACTGACCTTTTAATAAGGTCATCCTGGAGTATCATCATAGATAATCTTTAATGAGATTATCATGAATTATCTGGGCAACCCAATGCATTGCAGGTATCTTTAAAAGTGAAAGTAGGAGTGGAAGAGACAGGTTGAGTGACATGATGTGAGAGGTACTCAACCTGTCATTGCTGTCTTTGAAGGT